AACAGATCCCAGAGATTGCACAAAGAAACGAAGATCGCCGGATTTCCTAGCTGTCAGACAATGATTTCAACATGCACACACCCTTCGGCTTCTCTTTTGGAGTGCTGCCTTCCCTTGCGTAACCCATTGAGGAAGTGGGGCAGCTAGCTCAACAAAGAGTGAGCACAATACCTATTTTTTTTGTACCAATGGGACGCTGGACCCGGTTTCCAGCAGGTGCCGCTCCCCACCTATAGATGGAGCAGCCCGACAGATAAACCCTCAATTCTGACGGTTCTCTTACCACCACCAGGATAGAGGGATATCGCAAGGGTTTAAAAAAAAAAAAAAAAAAAAAAAAAAAAAAAAAAAAAAAAAAAAAAAAAAAAAAAAAACCTATTTTTTTCCCCAAAAAAACTTTTTTTTATATAAAAGCAAAAACAAAAAACATGCACAACACATAGGAATAATGATACGAGCCTACACTCCTACCTGTCTTGCAGGGGGCTCCAGTCTATTGGTGGGGAGCTACACCTGCTGGAAAGCAGGTCATCGTCCCCTGAGATACAATGTTGAGTTGCCAAAACAGAACGTGCTGGGAACTGGGCACAACGTCCCTCATGGACTTCGCTGATGATGCCACTGATACTACTGATAATAAGATGATGATGATGAGCTGATGATGATGATGGTAATGATGTTAATCTATGATAATTTATAGGAAACAATGAACTGCATTAGCAAACCTGGCCTCACAATCCACGGGAACTCCTCGCCTCTCCTATACAAGATGCAGCTTTCCAAAGACAATATCATCCTGTCCAATACCAGCCATAATTGTTGCGTTCTCTCTACCAAGACTATACCCAGCCCCTTAGGTTGTTAGGGCAGCACCCCCCAGTTCGCCACTTGATTGTCTTCCTCCCTCGACGAATCCCCGGATCTCTCTACCAGGCCTCATGCTCCTGCTACAGGGCTACACCCCAGCACCTGCCAGCGTCATTCTGGCATCGGCAAACCATGAGCACAAAACACCACAGCTTTGCAAGGCGCCAGCCAGGATTCTACCATCTCTAACATCCTGTATCCAACATACGAAGAAAACCAGATGTCGCCTAGGATTGTAGGACAACCAGATAAGCTTGACATATCACGATTAGTGATGTAGAATGGTTGTCTTGGATCTTTAAAGACAGCCGTACATCTCCCAGTTATGTACGTAGCACAGGTGAAGAAATCCCTCCCCCCCCCTCTTCCCAACCTATCTCAATGCTGCCTCCACCGAAAAGAATATTAGGTTGCCAACATTCCTTATCAGCCCCAATTCGGGACAGTCCCACACTCCCCCCCACCTGATCTTGCAAAGGCCTCCAATTCCCTCCCAAAGTAAGCCTCTGCTCACCCTTCAGCCTAATCTGCCCCCACTCGGATGTAATGCTGCCATTAACATCCACCCCAGCACCAGAATAAAGCACCCCCCTAAATCTGCCCGCACCCCCTCCTGGACTTCACTTCCCGCCTTGTGACGCCCGTGCAGAGTGGAGCTCTCCTCCACACCCCAACCCTCCCCTTCATCAGAAAAAAAAACCATCAATACACCAAGAGGAGAATAATAATTAATAATGGAAAGTTTTATGAACTGAGCCTTGAGAAGATACGATGTCTGAATAACGAAAAGATGAAAACTCGGGGGGACGACTCCAGGAATAGAATGGATTCATTTTCGGGGGAGTCAGATACACTCAAAAAAGTGCTCCGCGGGCACTGGAGGAGGCGGGCGGCGCAGCGCAACCGGGTGCGCTGCACCGCCCGTACCAGAATTCGGCCCACTGGAGTGGCGGCTTCAGGACGCAACAGGGCTGGCATGAGGAGGGTTCAGCATCGTTCATATCTAAATCCGGGGCCCGCCTGTCCTGGGACTGAATCTGGCCATGTGGGCCAGTGGATGACATCCTGTCCAGCAGTGGATCATGTGTTATGTTAAAGTCACCTGCAATGATGATGGGATGGCCTACCGAAATCTCTTGATAGAGTCGGTGTAAGAAACCCGCTCTTTCTAGCGGGTCATTTGGGCCATAGACACTTACTATAAGAACCACCTTGTCTCCCAGCATTGCCTTCACGTACACCCAGCGTCCCTGTTGATGATCACACTCATGCGCCAGCGGGATCAAGCGTTAAGATGGCGGAATATAAATCGCCACCCCTGTGGAGGCCGCAGATTGTGCAGGTGCCAAGAATGAGGCGTAGGGCCGTATCCACTTCTCTTTGGCTTTGTGGGCAGGCGTGTGGGTAAGGTGAGTCTCCGGTATGCAGATTGTGTTTGGCCATCTATCCCGCCCCTCCGTTTTCAGCATCCTCCAGATGGCATCTTTCTTTTCCAAGGAGGCTTGAGCCAATCCGTTTAGGTTGAGTGCTCTGATGTCCAGGTCCGCCTGGAGTATTGTCCGTGTCCATTCTGGGGGGCGTCTTAAAGGTGATGATCCACGAGGTTCTGGGGGGTGGAATGTTTCACTACACCTCTCCCGGGCCAAACACGCAACGCGTTGACAGTACTCAATCTTGTCACTGTCCAGGATCATCATGTACACAATGGCCTAGCTTCCCAACCTCCACAGGCGGCGCAATCCCCTCCCATGCCCGCGCAAATGTCGCCACCCATGCCGTCCGTCTCCCCCCCCG